TCTTCACAAATTAGGCTATCCAATGACCTATTAATTAATAAAATCGGTTCAGTAGAACTGTAGATTCAATTGTACAAAGTTTAACAACAACATCTTTAATTCAGTATTTTCTCACTACTATAAACCTGGAGGTTGTTTAACGTTTTTGCAAATAACTTTGAAACGGCGAGGAAATCGACCAAAGTGGAAGGTGATATTCTGAAAGAGAATAAAATTTCCTACAAATTATTGTTATCAATTTCTTGAATATACTCAATAAAGGCAGCCTAAAGTTGGCTACAAATATAAAATTGAAAATATAAACCTGGAATAAAAGGAGTTTTAAATGCATTATTTTTATTTTTTATTATTTTTTTCCTTAAATATCTAATAAAATCAAACTATCATAATTATTTGCAAATCTACACAAATTAGGCTTTCCAACGACCCATTAAGCAACAAAATCGGTCCGGTAGAAGTCGAGATTTAGTTGTACAAAGTTTAACAAAAATATATCTAATTCAGTATTTTCTCACCACTATAAATTTGGAGATCACTTAGATTATTGCCAATATCTTTTAAATGGAGGGAAAATCGACCAAAGTGAATGTGATATTCTGAAAGAGAATAAAATTTACTACAAATAACTACTATGCAATTCTTGAAAATACTTAATAAAAGCAGCGAAAAGCTGGCTACAAATAGAATCTTAAAAACAGAAACTTAAAAAACCCAGTTTTTAATGTATTTTTGTTATTTTTAATTTTTTACCACAAATATTTAATAAAATCACAATTTTATAATTATTTGCACATCTACATGGCTTAGGCTTTCTAATGATCCATTAATTAACAAAATCGGTCCAGTAGAAGTCTAGATTTAGTTGTACAAAGTTTAACAAAAATGTCCCAAATTCAATATTTTCTCATTACTATAAATTCGGAGGTTGCTTAGCTTTTTTGCAAATAACTTTTAAATGGTGAGGAAATCAACCAAAGAGGAAGGTGATATTCTGAAAGAGAATAAAATTTCCCACAAATTGATACCATGCACTTCTTAGAAATATTCAAAAATGGCAGCTAAAAGTCGCGCCCAAATAAAAATTGTGAAAAACACCGTTTTCAATGTATTTCTTATGGAAAACCCGTTTTCTTTAATTTATCACCATAAATCATAACGAAAACAAACTTTCATAATTATTTGCAAATCTACACGACTTAAGCTTTCTAACGACCCATTAATTAATAAAATCGGTTCAGTAGAACTCTAGATTTAGTTGTACAAAGATTTTAAAAACTGAATTATAAATAGAATAGATTACCACCTACCGTTACCGTTCCTAATACTAGGATATATTTGTGTCCAACCTGTTCCCAAACAGCTATAACAGTTACTTGATTAGGAACGTAATGTGACGTCATTTGGAGCAGACGTGCGTGGTAGCGGCGCACGTCTGACGTGCGAATAGCCTCTGCCTTCTTCAAGTGAGTTCGAGTTGGGGTGTGTGTGTTTTTTGTGTTTTATATCAAGGATAAACAACCCTACTTGAGACGTTATCTACTAGGCCGCGGCATAGAGTCAAGGGTGGCCGTGGCGGAACGTCGGTTCGACGAACGTCCGTCCCCTTCCACCATTAGCCCAGTAACTTTAGTTAAAAATCATGGCCAACAAAGACATGGAAGATGTAAAGCTGATTTTTTGCATGGTGATAGTGTATGATAGGAAGGGTGTTTTCTTAAAGTTCCCCGAATTTCCCCCCCTTGCTTCCCCTTAAACCCCCCCTCCCCCCCAAAAAACAGTTTGAAAGTGTAGTGTTTTACTAATTCACCTATATCTTTTTATGTAAAAGAGCTATCAGAATCATTGTTTTTTCTTTGAACTCCTCGTTAATTTTACTATAATAAAATAACCTTATATTTAGCATTATCTCTATTGGGTGGGTTTATATCTGTGATATAACAAAAAATATTATTTTTTTTCAATTAAATTGTAGATTATGTCAAACCTTGGTTTTGCAGTAGGTCGTACGTCAATGTGTTTGGAACAAAACTTTTTACCTATTTTATGAGCTTTCCAAAAAAGTATAACAATATATATTTTAATTTAAGTTGTTACCGAATGTAGCCATTTAAATCCATGCTTCAAACAGCCACATAGCTTAGCACATCAACTTAGCGCATCATTCCAGTATATATTACTAAATTATTACTTTTTGTTTATTTATTGTTTGTACACCCTGTGAGAATGTTCAACAAGCAAATTTGCTCTTAGATTTGTTCTTAATTAAGAACACGTAATTTAAAAAAATAGTAAGAAAATAAGTATTCACAAGGATTGAAAATGAAGTAATGGGTAGTTATAAGAAAAGCCAAATACAGGGGGTGATTGGTACTCAGTGTGATAAAATTTTTTGGTGTAAGTACAAAGTAAATGAAGTGTGATGATGCATGTAAAAGGTTCCAAGTCTAAAAATTAGCTTCCCCGAGAATTATTTTTTTTTTTTCAAAAATAACCATGTTTTAAACTTAATACAGCTATTTATCAATTACTTGTAAATGGATTTGAGTAGATAATGTCATTTTCGTGTTCTACATAAAATTTTGAACAAGAATAATATAAAATTACGGGGGATCAGTTGTAAAAACTCCATTTTAAATAGATTCAAAGATAACAATTAAGATGTTTGATAAAATGTAAAAAACATTGGTAAATTGCATTTGTTCACACCCTGTATACAAGAAAGTGTCCGAATATGGTAAAAACTGCGCCATTTTATAAACTTATTTTATATGGTTGGAAAGCTTATAAAATGGTCCAGCTTTTAACATATTCGGACACTTTCTTGTATACAGGGTGTGAAAAAATGAAACAGACCCATGTTTTTTATTTTTATAAAAAATCTTAATTTTTATCTTTGAATCTATTTACAATGGGGTTTTTACAACTGATTCTCCGTAATTTTCTGTTATTCTTTTTCAAAATTTAAAGTAGAACACGAAAATGACATTATCTACTCAAACCCATATACAGGTAATTGAGAAATTGTTGTATTAAGTTTAAAAACATATTTTTTTAAACGTAGAATATTTTTTTGGGAATCTAATTTTTAGACTTGGAACCTTTTACATGCATCATCACACTTCATTTACTTTGTACTTACATAAAAAAATGTTTGTCACACTGAGTACCACTCACCCTGTACATGTTCAACAAGTTTATTTAATTACAGTTTAAAAAAACACTTAAAGTAAGTAAGGCATAAACTATCAGATACAGTATATATCAACTTTCTTTTCCCTCATCATCGTCAGTTCCTTCGTCAATGAAGGGTGGGAGTGAATTTATACAATCAATTGGGTTTACAATCAATTTTAACAAAAATATATCTAATTCAGTATTTTCTCACCACTTAAAATTTGGAGATCACTTAGCTTATTGCCAATAACATTTAAATGGAGGGAAAGTCGACCAAAGTGGATGTGATATTCTGAAAGAGAATAAAATTTACTACAAATAACTACTATGCATTTTTTGAAAATACTTAATAAAGGCAGCTAAAAGCTGGCTACAAATAGAAACTTGAAAACAGAAACTTGAAAAATCAGTTTTTAATAAATTTTAACTTTTTCACCACACATATTTGATAAAATCACACTGATATAATTATTTGCAATTCTACATGACTTATATTTTCCAATGACCCATTAAGTAACAAAATCAGTCCAGCAGGAGTCTCGATTTAGTTGTAAAAAGTTTAACAAAAATATCCCTTACTCAGTATTTCATCATTACTATAAATTTAGAGTTTGCTTAGGTTTCTTGCAAATAACTTTTAAATGGTAAGAAATCGACCAGAGTGGAAGGTGATATTCTGAAAGAAAATAAAATTTCCTACAAATTGGGAAATTGGTACCGTACACTTCTTGAAAATACTCAAAATAAGCAGCCAAAAGTCACACCCAAAAAAGTGTGAAAAACACAGTTTTCAATGTATTTCTTATGGAAAGCAATTTTTATTTTTCACCATAAATCATAACAAAAACAAACTTTCATAATTATTTGCAAATCTACACGAATTAAACCTTCCAACGACACAATAAATAATAAAATGGGTCCAATAGAACTCTAGATTTAGTCGTACTAATATTTTTAAAACTGAATTATGTATAGAAAATAGATAGTAATATTTACTGGACAGGTTTGAATGACGGGCTAAGTGCGCTTTATGTTACACATTTGTTACAAGTTTTGTTACAATGACGTACTACCTACTACAAAACCGACGTTTGGCCTAATCTACAACTTCATGTTTTAAATAAAATAATATTTATTTTGTATCACATATAAACCCCCACCCAATAGAGATAATGCTACATGTAAGGTTATTTTATTAAAGTAAATTTAACGGGGAGTTTAAAGAAAAAACAATTATTCTGATAGCTCTTTTACATAAAAAGATATAGGTGAATTAGTAAAACACTACACTTTCAAACCGGTGTTTGGGGGGGAGGGGGGGTTTAAGGGGAAGCAAGGGGGGGAAATTCGGGGAACTTTCAGAAAACACCCTTCCTGTTATATACTATCACCATGCAAAAAATCAGCTTTACATCTTTCATGTCTAGGTTCTTACCTAAAGTGACTGGGCTACATGCCGTCCGTCCGTGCATCCACAGAGCAGAGAAGCTCCGTGGTGTCGTCTCCCGACCCAGTGTACGCACGCTAAGCTTGATTCTTGATTTATTACTAAGAATCAAACAAAATTCCGTTTGCTTTAATGTATTAGGCCTAGCATCGATGTGGTCAAGAAATTATCATAGTTATCTATGAATTCATAATTCTTGCCAGAATAAAGATTTATCATCAATAAACAACGCTCTGCTCACTATTGCGTATTCTTTTTTACTGTTGGCTATACTGTTTTAATGTTGTAAAATTAGATTATTCATTAAATTCATTCTTATTCTATTCATCTATTTACTTTCACTCTCACTCTGTTTCACTTTTCGTTTCGTTTTCACGTACTAATGAAAATAAGTTAGTACTTCAAAAGTATAAGTGTTTAAAATATATCATACATTTACGCGCTAGAATGATATCTAAAAGCAAGGATTAAAACATTTTATTGTTTTTTTAGAAGCTCAGTTAATTTAGTGACGTTTAACTAGGCTAATTTGATGTACGCCTATTGTAACCTAACTTTTTGTAATCTCATAGGACTATCATAGTGTTGTTTAATTTTTTATTTGAAATAATAGTTTAAGTCAGACTAAACGAACTATTCTGATGTTGGAGGGAATATGAAAGTCACCATCAAAAGTAAGTATTCCTGACCCAAAAAAGTTCCTAGGCTGTAATGTTTGAAAATAAAAACAAAATTAACTGAAAATTACAAACACCCAGTTAAAGATTGTTGTTGGGCTTAGACCCATTACAATGCAAAAGTCCAGCAAGTTAAAAAAATTCTACTTGTTCCCAAAACCAAGTCTGGCTAAACTTATTGTAAAAAAAGGTTCAGTCCGATAGCTTAGATGCTATTCTTCATCAGGCTAAGTTAAGAGCCTAGGCCTACAGTATTCTTTATCATATCTGAAAATGCAATATTTTTGTCGGGAAAGCACTTGTGTTTAACTAGTCTGACTGCGCTCCAATGCAAGTAGGCCTATTCCCCGTGCGCCCCTATTCATAGACTCATTCTCTTCCCCCCCACCCACCACCAATAACCTCCAACGAAACTAACGACATTTCTCTGTAATTCCACACTTCCTGGATACTATTTTGCTACATAAGTACGTCATTATACAAGCTCTATTCAATTAGAGAAAGATTACAATTTTGTAGGCCTACAGTAATTTTAAAGCTAAATAAGTTACTTTATAAACAAATTATTATTCAAAATATTCGTTGTAAGTAAAATTAAATTTACCAAACATTTCCAACTAGGCCTACCATTAACATAACCGAAGTACTGTAAGGATCACATTAAGTTTATATAGCATACTTTTAATTGTAATGAAGTTTTTATGGTGATAAAATAGAGGCTACTTTGTACTTTACTTAAAATTTTATATTTTTACCTACGTAGAAACGCTTCGGTCGTGTGTCGACGCGCGTCTACATGTCCATAGTAAAAATAAAAGCAGGCCTAAGTTTACTGTGTATTTGTGTGTTTTATTTGTCATGTGTAGGTACTAAGTGTAAAGTTTGTGTATGTGTTTCCAAAACTTCAAGACGCACCTAATGGGGAAGCTAGGTAGCCTATAAGCATAAAGATATAAGCAAGACCTTATATTAGGACTGATGATTGCGATTTAATTTCGCCAAAATGTATCTCCTGTAATAGGATACATTAGGATCGACCGACGGACACAGGTAATTTAAACCTTTTATTGATTGTCATATTAATCCAGAACAACAACAAACAACATAAAATGAAATAGTATTCTATGTTTTTTTTACTAAGGTTTTGTTTAGTATTTAATGGGGGGATTCCATGTAAGTTAAGAGAATTAATTATGAAAAACGGTAAGATAACTTAACTATCATCTAAAAAAGCAATTTTTTAAAAACTTTTCCAGGGTGGACTGGAGTGGCCATATGGCGGTGGGTTGCTAACGACGACACATGCGGCATTTGTAGATTAGCTTTTGACGGATGCTGTCCTGACTGTAAATTGCCTGGAGATGATTGCCCATTAGGTAGGTGTAAGGTCTACATGATTTCTCCAACCAAATAACCACTTAATTCTATACAATGTTTATGCATCTTGATAGAGCAGAGTTTGCAAGTACAGTATACTGTTGATGTAAACTTTAGTACCTATCCATGGTCATGTGATAAAATAATTTTAAGGCTACAGTACTGTACTTAACCATTGCTGTGTATAGTCAATGGTACAAATACAATGAAATGAGTTTCTAGTTTTATTTTTAAGAAATGTTTTTAAAATTCTGTTAGGCTAATTGATTGTAAAATCTTTTAACCTCCAAAATATGGATTCAGGGTCCCAGCATGTCAACCGAAGCTTATTCAGGGCTGTCCACCGACCGGGAAAACCGGGAATTATGCGTGATTTTTTTGAACCGGGAAAAAACCGGGAATTATGCGTGAATTTTGTATTTAACCAGGAATTTTTTGCCGCGACCGCGGGAAACGACGATGACGTTTCCGTGACCGCGGGAGACGACGATGACGTTCCTGAGATTGAGACGCGGGAGACGACGATGACGTTCCCGTGACTGCGGGAGACGATGATGACTTTTCCGTAACCGTGGGTGACAACGATGACGTATCCGTAATCGCGGAAGACGACGATGACGTTGCTGTGACCAACGATGATGTCCAAAAATATTGCTTGAAATGATGACTGCGAGAAATTATTTGAATTAAGCTACGATCGAGGAAGATTATGATAACTTTTTAATTTCTGCATTATAATTTCTCTAGGCCACTTGGAAACCCATTACTCCAAAATTATACAATATGAAAGTACATAAAGCCAGGGGTTGGTGTAGTAATCCTTAAGAAAATTTGGTAAAATAGAAATTATCAGTATTAAGAATCTATTTTTCAGGTGTCTGTACAGAGATTCGATAAATTTTGGTATTGACATATCACTATTTTTAGGAAGTTATTAATAAATTGCAGGTTTAAGGATTAGTTTTTAATTTATGGATTATTTAATCTGTAATATATACAAATTGAATAGGTACTTGTGTCAGGCAATATTACAGCAATCATATTTTCCCCTCTTAACTGAGAATGTTCTTTCCGATGACTAAAATAGCGAGCTGTGTTAGAGCGCTAAAACAGCATTGCGGGAGTTGGCGCCAAACACGTTGGAAATTTTAGTATGAAAAGTACGACCTGAACTACCTGGATTTTTTCTTTACTCATGAATTTTTCCTGGTTGGCCTGGTGGACACCCTGTTATTGTTCCAAAATATGGGTCATAATAATCTATACAATAGTCTATGTTAAATAAAACAAATTATCTGTAGCCTAGACCCTATCACTATAAAAAATGGGTTATGTTTATGTCTATACATTACTTCACTTATAGGCCTATTTCAAAGTAAGAAATTTTTTTTAAGTTAAATGCAATGTAGTTTCTATCATTAACAGTGACTTTTTAAGTTTAAAGAACCTCATTCTATTCTGCCTTCTCATTTCTTTAAAAATCTGTATGGAACTTGGATATCAGTTTAAGGGGATCCAGGCTTCAGAAAATACATTTTTTAAATTTTTTTTGTTTATCATTTTTTAAAGATATTTACTATATCAAATGGGCCTAAAAACTGTTTTTTTATTTGTTGTAGCCACTCTATGTACCACAGTACCATTTTATGTATTTTTATGTATCATAACGTAACACATTTTTATTTTTGATATAACTCATAAAATAGTTGATCAATTTTGTTCAATTAGGTGTCTTTTTGTAGCTATGTACACTTACTGAAATCCTGGGTATTACTTTGTTTGTAGGATAATTGGTTTTTATTTTATAAAGGTTGAAAAACAAAAAAAAATTCTTAAATACTATTTTTCAAATAAAAAAAATTATATTTTTTTAACTATTTGACTTATATTAATAATTATACCCAAAAGGTTTGTAAATACTATCAAGAACATCTGGTAAAAATGTCAGCATGATAGGACAAAAATTGGCTGAGATATATCAAATTTTCTGTTACAAAACACTAAAAACCACAACTTTCGGGGAATCGCGATCGAAGTCCTAGAAAATACTAAGACGCGCGCATGAAGTATCTGGGGAAATTATATTTTTTGTTATGAAAAACGTTTAGGATACCTATAAAACTTATATTTTCTTGTACATAAATAACCAAATAACAATAAAATACTATAAAAAAAATAAGTGAATTTTGGCAATTTTTTCACTTTCTGAAGCCTGGATCCCCTTAAGCTACCAAGTTAAATTAAATTAATAAAAGCAAATCAAATGTTTATCTGCTCAAAAAGCTCTGATTTGTAAAGAATCGACAAAATCAAACTTTCTTCCTTACCTGTTGTATGTTAGGACAGATTTCTCTTGCTAATCTAGAGGTTAAATACCTTGTTGCCACGTGGTTGTCGCTCCTAGGAGGTTGTCGGAAAATCTTCAAAACACAAAAAGGAGACAAATAAATAACAAAAACAAACACAAACAAACATTTTTACGAACGAATAATACTGTATGGCCATACAACTCTCGGCGTGGCTGTGGGTTAAGGGTGTATCTAGTCAAGTCTTGTCTAGACCTATACCCTGAACCTGCAGCCACGCCGAGAGTTGTATAGCTATACAGTTTTATTTGTTCGAAAAAATATTTGTTTGTATTCGTTTTTTGTTATTTATTTGTCTCGTTTATATGTTTTGAAGACTTTCTGACGACCTCCTAGGAGCGACAACCACGTAGGCTTGACAATTACACCATAAGTGTGTCGAAACCGGTAGCAATTATTAACACTACCAAGGATTACGTTGGCAACAAGGTATTAACCTCTAGATTAGTAATTGTTAGGTCATCCGGAAGGGAACATTTGACATCCTCAGAAATGGATTTCTCTTGATTAGAATAAATTGTTTGCCGTAGGCCTAATAAACTGCAATTTAATTACACACAATGAATTATTCTGGTTGCAGTTTGGGGCCAGTGTTCTCATTGTTTCCATATCCACTGTATTATGAAGTGGCTCAACTCACAACAAGTACATCACCAGTGTCCCATGTGCCGCCAGGAGTGGAAGTTCAAGGAATAATTTTGGTAAGTATTTCTTTTTTCCATTTATTCTGTAGTCATACGCTCATCGATGCAAGACATCAAAATTCAGTCAATGCACAATCGCTTGAAATGCATCTCAGAGTGATGCGGAACTAGTCACCCTAACCCTTACTCTCAAGTGTAATTTGTGCTGCACATCTGGCCTATTATCTCTTTGCAATTTTTTCAATTGAAAGATTAAGTCTCTGATCATTTGAATTAATTTAAATATTTATCTCCTGTTCATTTGTTTTCAAAATTTGAAGTGAGTTGGCAAATATTTGGACGGATTTATGACAAATCTTTGTCGAGCGCACGAAACAGACTAAACACATGAAGACTAGTGCGGTCGACTGGTTCCTCCCTCCTGGGGTGCATTTAGCCACCTACTGCAATGAAATTGTGTTGCTGCTTGTGACGCATAGCGGCACGCTATATTTCTTATAGTGTCAGCGCTTAGTGTGGCAAGGCTGCATGGCGAACTCGTCAGCCCACCGCGAGAAAGCGAACGGCTTCCCCCACCGACCTTTCCCAACCTTCCCACTTCGACCCCGGTCTGCAACTAGAACTGTCTAAGAAGGAACTGCTCGTCTAGAATTCCTACTAATGGCTAAGTTTACAATAATTAGATAAGCTAGTGGTTAAGCAATATGTCAGGCTAGTTAGCAAACACGGGGGAGACCTACAAGGGTCGTCCCGACATAGGATAAAATGTAGGAATTAACAATTACGGTTCGAGGCCTTCAGCCTCAGACCATCTGCAACAGGATTAGGGCAACACGTTTTCCCCAGAAGTTTCCATAGTTCTTCCAAAGGTTTTCCATAGGTATTTCTTATTTAAGTAGTTCAATCACCAGCCAATCTTCATTAACAGTCGTTTTATAGGTCACAAGTTTTGGAAGGATAGTTTTTAGTAAATTAGTTGTATTAGCATACATCAAAGCTGGCTATGCAAGCTTCCGGTCTGGGTTAAATATCTCCGTCCTCTGGTCCCCAACACGTCTTTCATTAAATTATCTTGGTAGCAGAATCAGCACGCTTAATTTAGTTTTACACCACCGTCACTCAATCAGTAGTAGTAAGTTCACCCCCCTTAAAACGGCTACATGCTTGGTAGGTATATTAATTCTTATTCAACAATATTTAGTTGAGGCCATTAAACTTTACATTATTTTAGAAGAATATTAAGTATGTTACAGTTCTGGAAGATGATTTCACCATGCAATATATTTTAAATCAATTATAATATTGTTTTGTTAAAATTTCCTTATTTGATTTGTATAGGCCTACAACAATCTCAGAGCAGTTCTGGTTTAACTGGGTGATTCTGTGTATCGAGTTTTAAATTTGCCCAACAAGACAGAACTTCGATATTAAGTTTGTAGCTTGGTTGACCAGAATTTCTAATTTTGAACAATAAACCAACTTGAATGGGTGGGCATTTGCCCATATAGTTTTTGGAATTCAATTCAGGGTATCAAGCCTATCTAGAAGTAGAGAAAATAGGCACTTTTCAGTGAGCATCCATTTGTTAACGGCTTAACATTGGCTCTCTAAAAGTTAACATCTCAAAAATCCTAAAACTCTAGGCCCTTGTGCTCTATGTTACATCCTTAATCTCTATAAACATCGTCGCTTATAGTAACAAATTTGTGACTGTGGAAGATTATTACAATGTTCTGTAAACGCAGAAAATAATCACGACGATGTCATAGTTGCAGGATAGGTATTGATGAATAAATTTTTTGTTTATAAATAATCGCGGATCACTCTTTAAGTATACCATAATTTTGTGAATGTAAAGTGAAGGCATTGTTAAAATTTCATATGTCTCATAACGTCTTGCATACTTGCATATCTTGCATACTACCAATACACAAGATTATCTTGCATTATACCACAATCACAGGAGATCTTGAAATTTCTGTTTTTAACGAGAAAAAGAGTTTGCATGTAGCCTACTTTATAAAATTGATTCACTAACTATCAAAATGTAACATCAATAAGCTTATGTGTCTTGCTAAATTTTTACTAACCTCCTAAGGTTTATAATTTATATAGGCTAACTTATCTCAATAAATTTTTTTTAATAGACTTGCTAAAAAAACATTTATTTTAATTTTTAATTGCCATAGAAAATTTGATATAACACCTTTTGAGGAGATTCAAAGGGTAATTTTTCAATCGCACTTAAAAAGCTCTTTCCACCGGGCTCTTTCTTTTTTGATTTGACGGCAGACCGGGCCTCCGCATTTCACCCGGGCCGATTTGGGACACCTAACCCCACCAGGCTCTTTCTATTTTGATTTGACGGCAGACCGGGCCGATTTGGGACACCCAAACCCACCGGGCTCTTTCTTTTTTGATTTATGAAAGTCATAACATTAAAGTCGTTCAATACGCTCTCCGTCTGAGCCTGAAATTGTCCCATACAATTCTCAGGTGTGTGAGATTTAGCACTTGCGGGCATCTTGGTCTCCCGCATTTCAGCGACCACCCTGCGTTGCTCTCTCCATGTGGGCTTTGTGAGCCATACGTTTGAAGAAGTTGGTATTTCGGCTATGAGGGATGGCTTTTGTGATGGTCAAAAGTCTGTATAGGTTCCGGATCTCCACTAAAGTCCTATTCTCAGAGTTCCTGAATACTACCCCTTTCCCGCCTAGGGCCTCTTTGAACTTTGCAGCAAAATTCGGTCGGTCGTAGGATTTCCCGAGCTCAAGGTAAACTTCCCCATTCTGGTTGCACTGATCGACTTGACGATGGTCTTTGTCTCCTCTGGTTTGGCCTAGGTTTTGAGCTAACCCAAGACTTCCCTGCTCATCTGAGCTTCTACTCAATAATGTGTTAAGGGTGGAGGTGTTTACAAGATATTTTGAGTTTTTTAGCACATCGTGCTGCATGGGACGGCTCGGAAACAGTCAGGAACGGGTAGGGTATACCCTCGGGGACAAACCCCTACTGCAGTTTCCTGGTGCCCAAACCTCCGTTTTCCCAGACCTGAAGTGCCGGTGGTTGCCTGTAGCAATGCAGTGCCCAAACTCTATATCCATACTGTACTTCCTGACCAAGGAGTGGCAACTAAACATTTTGACCCAACGTCCAGACGAGTTGAACTTAAAATAAAAGGGCTCTACGAAGACGAAGTTTTCACATTGACTAATGTAAGAACTCAATTCTCCTTAGATTTACCTCAACAGTCGATCGATTCATTAAAGCTTCGTGAGACATGGTCTCATTTAAATTCAATCGACCAACCTCTACCAACATCTCATGCCAAACCTACCATCTTGATTGGTCAAGATAATTGCAACCTAATATTGACAAGGAAAGTTGTGGAAGGGCCTCCTAACTCGCCAGTTTTATCCTGGAGTTACTTAGGCTGGTCGTTGCATGGAAAATGTCCAGAATACAGTGGAGGACGTATCGATGACAAATTTGCTCTGACATGTTTTAAATATCATAAATTGTACAAAACAGCAAAGGAATCATTTGAGATTGACAAATATGGCGCAGAAAACATCTCACTAAAAGAAAGGACTCGAAACAAAGATATGAAAATCAAAACAGCACATTTAGACAGGGATCCAATAAAATAAAAAGCGTTAGAGAAGGAATGCCAACCCCTGGAGGCTAAGGATATGATTCAAGACTCTTGAGAAACATTCTGATATTTTCACCAGTGTCCAGACAGTCCGAGTGGTTGGAGAGAAAACGGAAGAGCCTGATAAAGAAAATGAGATAGGTCTAGTTGACGATGAGCCGATAGAAAATTCCAAAATACTTGAAGTCTTGAAGGAAGCCATGCTGGAATCTAGTGTCAAAATCAAGAACAAGATCTTTGCGATAACTGACAAAAGGAAGAAAGTGAAAACAAAAGAAAAACAAATTAAAGCCAAACCTCTATGGAATGTGAAGAAAACAGAGAACAACTCAGATTTGATAATTTGTAACGGATGTGACATACAGTTTGACAATACCCCATTCTACAGACACAAGAAGAAATATGTGTACTGGAAAGAGCAGAAGAATAACAATGACAAGCAAACAAACAAGTGTGCTCAGTGTGGCTGTGTGTTCCCATGCCTGATGGCCTTGTTTGAACACAACTGTAGTCGCTCAGAGGAACCTACGACGCCACAATGGTGTTTTGAAGAGCCGATGGCGGAGGTGCTAGGAGACAGCGTGGAGGACATACCCATCTTGTCACCTGTGGAAACCTCCAGTGACGAGAGCTTTGACATCTCACAGTACCACAACAAGTCCAGCAGTGATAACCAGAGGAATAAGAAATATTCTGAAATATTCAAAGAAATCAAACATCAAAGAAGAAAACGTATGCTCAAAGTGAAAATCACTAAAGAACTGGTGAGTGCCAAAGTTAGCCTTCGCAAGCCTCGGCCAAAAATTACTATTGCTCCAAAGAAAAAACTAATGAAAAGGAAAAAGAAACTAATTTTTGAATGGTTAGTTCTTGGGGGGGGGGGGGGAGAGAATGTAAATGGACTACAGGTCCACACACAGAGTAATCACTTCTTCAGCCACTTTTTTGGGTTCAGGAGGACCCAATATCCACCCAAAGCTCAAACTCGAAAATGTTGACAAAAACAATAGGTAGTCTCGCCAAATACTATGAAAAAAAATTAACTACTATAAAATAAATTAAATTAAATTAATACTATGAAATGATTTAGAATTAGAATATGTATACAATGTAAAGAATAGTTATGAATTTGTTGAACGTGTAAAGAACATAGATATAGATTCGAATAGTAGGCTAGTCTCATTTGATATCGCAAATCTGTACACAAACATACCTGTATCAGAAACTGTAGATCTTGTTAAATGTAGGCTTTTGCAGAATAGTTTAGACGATGAATATGTCAATCAGATTGTAAAATTGCTTGTGACTGTTTTGAAGCAAAATTATTTTAGATTTAACAATAGATTTTACGAACAAACAGATGGTTTAGCTATGGGAAGTCCACTTTCGGCAATTTTGTCAG